AAACAATTTCGTGCTGAAAATTTGAATTTCAAGATAAAGTAACCTGAACGACTCGAAACATGTTTCTTATAGGTTTTCGACAATGCTCTTTCCAGTGGCATCATTTTTAAATATTAAGAAAGTTTTCTGAAAGGTTTTCCATAGACTGGATGTCTAGAAAACTCCTTAGAAAACTTTTTCAAAACCCAGCTCTCATGGCATTAGAAAGAGGATCATGAAAAACCTATAAGAAAATGGTTCATGAAATTTTAGTTCACTCATAAAGCTAAAGTCTCCCTGCTCTAGCAAAAAATGCCCACTGTGCAGTGGGCAAGGAATTCGCCCATTACACGACAAGATCGATGCCATTGTCAAACTGCCGAAACCGACCACGCCCAAACAAGTCCATTCGTTCGTCCAAGCTGCTAATTATTACCGTGATCACATTCAAAATTTTCGAAAATAGCTGCTCCATTGTATCCGCACACAAAAAGAATGCTGTTTGGAAAGCGTGGACCCAACAGATGGACAAGGTATACAATGAACTCAAAAATTGACTCACCTTACCACTGGTATTTCTTAACTTTCCTGATGATTTTTCTTCATTAATATTATCAATCGATGCTTCTGGTGACGGCATGGGGGGTGTTCTGCGATAGATAACTCCAGATGGACTGAAGGTGATCAAATACGTTTCAAAAAAAATTCAATTTGGCTCAGAAGAGATACTCAACGACGGAACGTGAATGCTTGGCGATAGTGTGGTGCATTCAAAAATTGAAGGAATACGTTTGGGGACGACCCATTGAGATCGAAACTGACTATTGCCCCTGTGTAGTTTCAATAAGAAAAAATTTCAAAATTCACGCATCGAACGATGGCAATTAGAGTTATCCGAATATCATTTTGACAAAATAAGATACAAACGTGGTCGATATAATTGTAACGCAGATTTGCTGTCTCGTTTCCCGTTTGACAAAGCCGATACTGATAATGATGCTCATCCTTTACGTATTCGATTATACACTCCATCAACTATCGATTCAATCAATACATTGCAAGTCAATGCCATCTCGCGATCTACGACACGACAACTGCTGCAAAATCGCTCATCGCCTGCTTCAAGTTCATCGACATCCTTATCTACCACTACTATAACAAGATCAAAAACGAAAAAGAACACAATTAGGGGCTCACGTGTTGCTGCGGATGTACTTGTTTCACACTCCATGATGACGACTACATCAACAGCCGATAATCCTTCCCAAACAATAGACTTTAGCATTGATCGGATTCGAAACAAACAAATAGAAACACCCCGATCTCCGTTGCCGGATTCAAACGATCAATAAAGATCCTCACCACTTCCCCAACGACGTAATTGAACAACAAGTTTTATTCAAATTAGTCACTCGAAATGGCAATACCAAATTAAAGATACCATAGCTACCAGTATCGATGATTTCTGATGTTTTGTCCGCATACCACGATCATCCAATGAGTGGACACTTTGGTGTCAATCGCACGTACAACAAAATTAAAGGAAAATTTTTTTGGTTTCAAATGTATGATACCATCAAACGATATGTACGATCTTGCACAGAATGTGCTCGATTTGATGTGCAACGCAAAAAAAAAGCCCGGATTTCTACAACAAGAACAGTCGCCAGATGGAGTTTTATTAAGTAATATGAGACTAAATTAGTTCAAATAGTTGGTGAAGATTTCAATATATTTTTCAGAAAAGAAAAAACTCTACCACTACCTATTTTGGTTTCGAAAAACTTGAAATTAACTTGCATTCATTTTTTTTGTAATTATTTACATTAACTTTGGTTACAGAAATTCGTTCAGATTAATTTTTGATTTGAAATTAATTTCAGCAAATGTTTTCTAAATCAATTTGAATGTATTAGTTACTACAAATTGATTTAAATTAATTTACGAACAGAAATTAATTTTGTTTACAGCACTGCAAAGTAATTTGAGTCTGTAAGTTAATTTACACTAATTTTCAATACCAAATCGATGCATACTATTTTTCGTTAAATTGGTCGGCATGACTTTTTGATTGAAAATTGATTTAAATTAATTTCGATCAACAAATCCATTTACGTTGGTTTAAAGAAAAATAATGTACATTAATTTGATACTGGAAATCAATGTAAATTAATTTGTAGACTCAAATTTCTTTGCAGTGCTGTAAACAAAATTAATTTCTGTTCGTAAATTAATTTAAATCAATTTGTAATAACTAATTCATTCTAATTGATTTAGGAAACAATTACTGAAATTAATTTCAAATCAAAAATTAATCTGAACGAATTTCTGTAACCAAAGTTAATGTAAATCATTACAAAAAAAATTAATGCAAATTAATTTCAAGTTTTTCGAAACCAAAATAGGTACTTATTTCGGTTCAGAAATATTTTCAAGAATTTCTGAGACTGCCATTTGATTTCTCGCAAAAAGTAGCTTCGGGAAACTTAGCCTCTAACTATATGAGATATACTATGGAGACTTTTAGTTTTTTCTTTTTCTAAAAAAATTGAGTGAAAACAACCTAATTGAGTATTTTTCGACATTATATATAAAAGATGTTCGATTTACCATTGATACTCTACTCGAACAGAAAAATAAAACCGATTGTGCCGTGTTATTTAAGTTAGGACAAACAGAAAAAGCCGGTCAGATTACAGCAATTTTTCGTACGAAACAATGTTAGGAGGTGTTAAGTAGTATTTTTTTGACTGTACATATTTGTGTGCTTCCACGTTACGCGTACATATGATCTAAAGAGATCATATGACGTCATTAGTTCGGTCAGTAGTAAAGGACATATTCTTTCGTATTCTTCTTTGTACGTCATGACCTAATGAGTCATGTTCTGGACAGTTCTTCTGACATCATTAGATCCTTCTCTGATCCTTTCTCGGATGTTCGGAGATATGTATATATAGCTGTATTTTTTGTGAATGAAAGAAGATAGTAATTTGTTACTAAATAAAGTGAACAAGATAGAAAATCAATCAAGATAGTTTTACTACCTAACAACAACAAATATTTTCGAAAGTCATTCCATTAGATATCACAGAAAAAATTATCGCTGACTATCAATAATGAAAAAATATCAGTGCCGAACTTAATGATAGCACGATTATTGACGAACAATCAATTGTAGCTGAAGCCACAAAATTTGGTAAAAAAACTGTCAATATATTACGATCAAAGTTCGAACAGACATGATTTTCTTCGCTTTCCAACACTAGTCGAAAGCACTTGATATTTTTTTTAAGTAGTAGTGGAAAATAAAAGCTGAATTTTACCTTATTCTTGCAGGTCTGGACAAAAAAATCGCGATTCCAAAAATACCTCTGGTCACTTTTTTCTCGATCGAATATACACATTATTTTAAACTTTTCTACATTAATTTCGACTCTCGAAATTAATTAAAACTAATTTATATTATCGAAATTATTCCAGTCTGTTACAAAAACATTTATTTAAATGAATTTGAGAGTAGAACTTAATTTGAAGCAATTTAAAGCACGAAATTAATTCGAACTCATTCGAAATAAATTAATTCAAACCAGTTCAGTTAAAACTAATTTAAATTAATGTTTTCTCAAACTAATTGGAGCTAATTTTAGCAAAGAAATTAATTCTAGTTCATTTTAACTGCGAAATTGATGTAATCTATTTTTTGCTGCAAGACTGCTTTGCGTACATCTCACTACAGACGAATTTAAATTAATTTGGCCTCTTAAATTGATGTGAAGTCATTTTTCATCTTTTTTTTGGGTCAGAAATTAGTATGCATTAATTTAAAATTCTTTAAAAGTTCCAATGGGTACAGGATACACAGAAGAGAGAATATTTTGAAAAACTGAGCTGCAGGTTTGATTTACCTGCTGATAAAGCAGAAGAAACGCATTTCAGGACATATAAAGAAAGACGTATTACGATGAGAGGAGATCGAGATATTGTAATGAAACGTTTTAGTGAAGAATCAGGAAGAGTTGTTCCATATAACACAAATCTACTCATGTTATTTAAATGTAATCATGGTTTACAGGTACGCCTTCCTTTAGTAAAACACATTCTGTGTTAGTAAGTAAAAGTCAAACCTTACATGAGGTCACTTAGTATACTGTTTTGTAGGTGATCACAGACGAGTATGCGACACCGGAATATCTGTTCGCCTATGTAACAAAATCTGCAAAAACTGAAAAAACTATAGTACATGAAACGGTTAATTGCACTTGTTCCTCAATTAAAGAAGCTCGTAGTATACTACTGAAAACTCGTAATACAATATTAAGCCAAAGGCAAATAGGCAAGGTGGAAGCGGTAATCAGGGCTCAATATTTGTTCTGTAATGTTTACTCTAAAAATGAGTTACTCTAAAAATCAGCACTATGAAATTTCATAGACACAGCAGAACAGACGCAGAATTAATACATGTTTTTTTCCGCATATTATAGTGTTGGACTTTGCTGGGTTTACCATTCTATCATTCGAGCAAAACCACTACACACATTTATATTGATCTACCTGAAAATAGGACTAGAATTTTGAAAAAGAACAAAAGAAATTTTAAGAAAAACACCCTCAGAAGCGGACAAAAAGATATTGGTGAAAATTGCTTTGTTGAGAATATATTCGATCATTATGAAACAATGATTATGACTAGGAACACTCTGCTGAAAGATATGAACCTATTTGAATTTGCTAGATGGTTTATAGTAGATTATACTAAATCAGGTAATGAATTAGATTCCAAATGCCTCTTTTAATAGATATTAATTTGCTATTACTATTTAACGATAGGTCCTGAGAACGTCACGGTTAACGATACTAATAATCAAAATAATATCAACTGGAGACAGGGTTTTGAGACAACACCCTTCGAAATGATAGACAGTAGATTACCCAGGATTAGTTTAAATAATAGTAAAATAATGAGAATGCGAAAACAATCACAATGCATAACCCATCGTATTAAAATCAGAAAATTACTGCAACACATGAGAGTTTCCTCGATTTTCTCAGCAAATGAGAAATCTACCTTCTATACAAGTAATAAGAATAGCTACAAAAGAATTTCAGTCATATCGAGATTCGAGACTACAGTATCGAGGCTTTTCTAGACGTCTCGGTGGATGCCTAACGAACAGTACAACAACAAAATAGAATGGCGGAATATTGTTAGCCGAGTACAGTGGCAATTATTTCGTCGGTACATCGTACCATTCGATAATGTAAAATATGCCAAATCAATTGAAGAGATAATCAATAGAAACTAATTGTTCTTTTTATTAAATAAGCGATCAGATTTTGTATCCTTTTACTTTGTTCTGTTCGTTCGCAGGTGTGATAACTCGAATCACAGTGGAAAATTAGCCAAATCTTAATGTTCTACAGGAAGGTGCCAAAATAAAACTGCTCGGTATATTCATTTTGACTTCAGACTATAACTAGGCCTGAAGTGAACGATGTTAACTGCATCATGTTCCCGAAGAGAAACCGGGTAAAAGATAGTGAAATTAGTGTCCGTTTCCTCAAAAGAAATTTCTTAGAAGCGTGCGTACTTGATCCCGAAATCGGTACGTTTCGGTGCGATTGATCTTCTGAAACAAATATATTTGAGAAGAAGCTAGATTTATTCAATATGTAATAAATTATTTTGACAAAAATATTTTTCATTCGCATAGGACTAATGTAGTAAGGTGTAATAAGGTCTTCTGCTGATACATTTTTGCTAAGTTAACTAAGGTGCCAGAAATTCGAAAGATACACACAAAAATGGATTTTCTTTAAATATACATGGTTGGATAGCCCTTGAAACGTAGATTCCGAATATCACCTTTCTATTCACTTTTGCTCAAGTTTTGGGGAAGAAATCTTCAAAATACTGAATACCGCCTGAAAAGTGAGATTTTGACACTCTCGAAGTAAAATTCAAATATGACCCAGTTACATAGGTTCTCGTTTTCTCAAACACACATATCCGGATTCAGCAGCTCAAAAGGAGTCCACAAATTCTGCGTGCCAAAGACTTACTGTCTTATGACGACCTCTTTTGCTAGCAAAATATAAATATCTAAATACTAGCTAGGCTATAAAATATGAACCTGCACAAAGCGTAAATATACTTTGTGTTCGGATAGTTTAAGTTTTAAAGTGGTATAATTGGAATTTATATTCTCGATTTCGTTCGGTTCAAGATTAAAGACTCAAACCTAAACTGTAAAAACCTAAATATCTATGCGGCAGTAAAATATGAACCTGCAAAAGACAAATATTTCAGTATAAAATACTAAGTTTTTGCATTTCAGAGTGCAAACTGTCAAGAAAAGCCGAAATTGCAGGTTCATTTTTCTAAAAGGACAGTGCCACATGTGCATCTTAGTCGTTATCTGTAGGAATATTCTTTGTCAACCATTCATCTTTGGTTTCACCCTCAAAACAGCAACGAAAACTAAGTTTTTGATATAAAAAGATGCGTAGAAATGTATACCTCTTATCATTATTCCTCACTTACCTTGAGTAGCAAAGATGAATAGTTGACAAATAATATTCTTATCTTTGGATTTCAACGCAAGCACACACACCTCTTATTTTATGGAGAGAATCATCTGAAGGTAAGAAGCTTAATATCATTACTTTGAGTACAATGATATGACTGACAGTTATAGGTCATGTACGTAGTAAAGTTTTGCGCAGTTCTTCTTTTCATTGTGACACAAAGTCTTGCAGCACCATACAAGTCACCAAATAGTTGTAGTTATGATGTAAGAAATCACGCGTCCATATAGATAATAGACACATACGTAGACACATAGTTATGTTTTAGTCATGCAACTTGGGCAAATCTGATAAACTCAATGTTCATATCGTCGCTCATACACACGACGACGTTGGTTGGCTAAAAACAGTTGATTAGTATTACTATGGATGTGAGTTATGATTTGACCTACACGATAAACTCTAAAAAAACTCGTAGATCAATAAACTACAATAAAAGAGTTTTTGGACTAAAAAACTGATCAAAAAACTCAAAAGAGTTTTTTAACGGGTTTTTAGGCTAAAAAACTAAAAAGCGTTCGTGGTCGTACTCTTTGGGTTTTCCATTTTGAAACGACCACGAACGCTTTTCAGTTTTTTGGCCTAAAAAAATCGTTAAAAAACTCTTATTGGGTTTTTTGATCAGTTTTTTAGTCCAAAAACTCTTTTATTGTAGTTTATTGATCTACGACTTTTTTTTAGAGTGTAACCATGAATAATTTTATGAATTGATCTTTTAGCACGTAGTGAAATCCGTAAACGGGGTGTTCAATATATTCTCGACTCAGTTGTGCAGGCATTAGTGGAAAACCCCGATCGTCGATATATCTATGTTGAAATGGCTTTTTTTTGGCGTTGGTGGAATGAACAATCGGACGACATGCGCAATACAGTGAAGCAACTCGTCAACGAGGGTTCGTACCAGTCGAATTTATATCAGTTATACAACCGTTTTTGAAGAATGGAAGAACATATGTTCAAGAAAAAAACATCAGCGAGCAAATAGCAACGAGGCAAACACAAAATAGAATGCCGGTAAAAAAAAGAAAAAATTTCTGTTCGAAATGCAGAAATAAATAAGGTGGATTGTTTCTCTGGCGATTAGTTATCCTTGAAAAACAACTATAGTCTGCAAGAGAGTTTTCACTCGTCGTATTTTGTATTAGTATACTGAGGCTAAAGAACACTTGTGAGTTTAGCCCCAAATGGCTGCACTGGCAAGCTTTTCTATTTGAAACATGTATCCAAATCTGTATAGGTCGTCTGGAATTTATCTCGGGCGGTTGGTCCATGAATGATGAAGCTACAACACATTACAATTCGATTATTGATCAACATACCTTAGGTGCCCAATTCTTGCGTGACACATTTGGCGAGTGTGCTCGACCAAAAATTGGCTGGCAAATCGATCCATTCGGTCATTCGCGAGAAGTTGCTTCACTCTTTGCACAGGTTGCATCTATTCGAGGAGCTCATATTCGATATAGATATCATTTCTCCGTAGATGGGCTTTGATGGTCTATTTTTCGGACGCGTTGACTATCAAGATCGGATACCTCGCACTTTGGAAAAGACCTTGGAAATGGTCTGGAAAGCAAGTGCCAACTTAGGTTAGTGTCCTTTCGAGTATTTCGACCCGATCAGATTTCTTCTGGGAAATGCGAATCTGCGATGAACTATTGAATCTAAATCTTCAAAGTTTCACATTCAGATGTTCGTAGATCGTCAGAGTTGGCTTTTCACGGGTATCCTGCCACATGGTTACAGTGGGCCGATTTCGTTTTGTTTTGACTTGCTGTGTTCAGATCAACCGATTATGGTGCGCCATTGTTTATCAACTTTCTATTCTCTATATAAATTGAACGATTCTAGGATGATAAAAGTTTGCACGACTACAATGTACGGGAACGTGTTGAAGCATTCATCAGAGCGGCATACGTTCAAGTTAGCTCAAACAGACATTCTTGAAAGACGATTTTCTCGCTAAGTTTGTTTTTATCTATTGTAGGCTCCCATCTACGCAACCAATCATATCATCATGACGATGGGCGATGATTTTGAGGATCAGAATGCCAATGAGAAATTCAAAAATTTGGACAAATTAATCCATTATGTTAACCTTGAGGTATGTCATTTTCATATATTTGATTGACTTTATCCGAGATCATATCATCAGCAAGAGAATGGTAGCAATGTCAATGTCTTTTATTCAACACCGTCATGCTATTTATATGCCTTGAATAAAGCCGAAAAAGAATGGACATCGAAAACCGATGATTTCTTTCCATATGCCAGTATTCCATTTGCATACTGGACCGGCTATTATACTTCAAGACCAGCGTTAAAACGTTATGAACGTTATGCAAATAATATTCTTCAAGTAACTCGTCAACTCAATGGATTTTCACAGAAGAATCTACGAAATACCATTTTCGATTTGAGTAAGAGAAACGTGCATTCTTTTCATCTATTCATCGGCATTCGTACTATACAGGTGAAGCAATGGGACTTGCCCAACATCATGATGCAGTTAGTGGAACAGAGAAGCAACATGTAGCCAATGATTATGCTCAACGACTGTCCGATGGTATCGACCGAGCAATGGTATGTCGTATGACACACAATCGATGCTATGAAATGAGTATTCTTTAGGAAGTGATCAATGTTGCCTATGCAAAACTGTTGCCTAAAGAAGGTCAAACAACGCCGAGTCCCGACCAATTTCTCTGTCCGTACTCAAATATTAGTGCATGTCTTCCGATTGAAGGACAAGATCAAGTACGTGAAATTCTTGCACGTAACTCGTGTCAATAATCACCTCAAAAATGATTATGATCGCTTATAATCTGATTTTTTTTCTGATGGGACATGAGAGACTGTCTCAATTCTCTTTGTAGTTCACATTGACACTCTGGAATCCAACCATTCACTCGGTAACAATTCATCCTCGTGTGCCCGTCACTCGAGAATATTTAATTCGTGATCCAATAGGAAATCTTGTTCCAGCTGAGGTACACAATCAACGATGCATGACGAAAAAAAATCACGATTTTTCATTCTTTCTTACAGTATCTTCCGATTCCAGATACAACGAAAAATGTTCCTGGCCGAACGAGTTCTGCTCAGAATCAGTATCTATTTCAAGCATCATTGCTAGCGCTCAGTTACAGTACCTATTATTTCGAAGCGAGAGGTATTTCCACAAAGAGTTCCACTTATTTTGCATACATAAAAAGAGTCAATGAAGTGAAACTATATTCCAAAACAAAATTATAAAATTTCTTTGGATTTCATTTGTAAATAGTAAAGATCGAGGTTTGAACGAAATCCATAGATCAAATTTTTAGCAAAAGAAAACTTAACTGTGAGTGTTTAACTTTGAAATTAGTGAGAAATTTGTTTTTTTTTGTAATAGCTGATGCGAAGAAAATCGAGCATGAGAAGGTGACAACGACGACAAATCAAGCATGCGTTCTGCAGAATGAAGTAGGACATGAGTTTCGAATGCCAATGCTGATCGATTAATCGTCATTTCTAGCATCTACGTGTGGAATTTGATGATCGAGGTGATTTGAAACATATTATCAATTTGGACAAGGATTTGATAGTATCGTTTACTGAACAAGGCTTCTACTGGTATGCCAGTAAGTGTCATTTTATAATAATTTCGATTAAAATCAGAAAATTTCAAAGATGAAATATTCCAACAAAGTCAAAAAAGAAAATCTTTACGGCAGCGATCATTTTCAAACGAAAATTGTGACAAAGTGTTTTTACAAATCCTCATGCCTTTGATCAAGACTTGTTCAAGATAATAAAATTGTCAGATACTTTTTATTCAAGGTTATACCGGTAGTCATACTACTCCAGAATTACCAGCATCAGGTGCTTACATCTTTCGACCATTGTTTTCGGAGGCACTACCTGTGAGTTTTGCACGTAGCATGTGAGTAATTCTGTTTAATAAATTTTCTTGACGATTATTTTATCCCGAAAAACAATAATAGAAATTGTACGAAAACAGACACCGTACAAAAAGCGTCGATTGTTTTCAACGAATGGGTTAGTCAAGAGATCAGTCTCTACCGTGGAACATCAGCGATTGAACTCGAATGGACCGTTGGACCGATTCCAATAGATGATAACGTGGGCAAAGAGATTATTATTCGTTATAATACCAATATTGATAGTGCAGCGAAATACTATACTGATGCTAATGGACGTGAAGTTCTCGAACGTATTCGTGATCATCGACCAACATGGCATTTTTTTGTTGATGAACCAATTAGTAGCAATTATTATCCAATTAACAGTCGCATTTGGATTCAAGATCGCGATCGTCAGTTGACTATTCTTACCGGTAAGGTACATTTTTCAAATGAATTGTTTTCATTATTGGAAATAATTTTGTGTTCAATGTTCTATAGATCGATCAGAAGGTGGTGGAAGTATGTACGATGGTTCGATCGAAATTATGGTTCATCGTCGAATACTCCACGACGATTCATTGGGCGTTGGTGAAGCTTTAAATGAGACTGCTTATGGCAAAGGTCTTGTTGTTTCAGGCAAACATATTCTTCTTGTTGACCGACCATCAGATAGTGCTCGACTACATCGAATCGGTGCTCAACAATTGTTTATGCATCCTCTGGCGACCTATTCCTTGCCGAATACATCATCTTATGCGAACTATTCGGATATGTATCGTCAAAGTTGGTCGGCTCTGTCGGATGCGATGCCACTGAATGTACACTTGCTGACATTCGATCAATTAGGTCCTAAACAATATCTTGTGCGTGTTGAACATTATTTTGAATTGAATGAAGATGAAATCTACTCACAACCGGTGACGATCGATCTCCAAACATTGTTCAATAGTATTGGTACCATTGCTGAGATGATTGAATTAATACTGAGTGCCAATTTACCACTGTCCGAATTGCATCGACTCGACTGGATGACAAAAGGTCAAAACTCGTCACATGTCGATATGTTTCGTAAGTTGAATTTCATTGAAAAGTGTCTCGAACGATATTGTCTATATCTCAATTACTTTTAAGAGCAATATTCGTTGAAAGCGACGACGATCACTCTCAATCCTATGCAAATTCGAACATTTCAAATCACCATCGCTTAGAAGTTAGCTACTGAGTTCTTTTTTTTCATTGATTGACTATCTGCTGAAATTTTTAATTAATGTATTTCAATATGTCCAAATCAAAATAGAGACACATTTTCTTGAAAGACAAGGTAGTCCAAACATTTTCTTTCATTTACTATCTTCAGATCTGGAAAATACTGTTCAGGAATAGATTCTACACCATTTTTCCTGTGAAACCCTGTACAGTTATACAATGGCTCGTGATCTCTGGTGAATGTATAATCGATCTTCTTCAAGCGAAACAAATGCATGATTTCAGCCAACTTTTGGCTTCGATAGTGGAATGAACGTTTTTCATTTTTCCAAACAGGAACCACATGACTTTTCTATCATCTTGTAGAGCCAAGATTTCTCTACAGTGGTAAACTAGCTTCATCTGGGAGGCATAAAAATGTAAATTAAATCCGAATCAGAATGATGTGCATTGTCCGAGTTTGTTCGACGCAACATTTTCTGATGACATCAACGGGGAACAAATTGATTTCGTGATTTTCTTGATTTTGAGTGATTTCTAGTGGCAATCAACGACTTCATCCCTCTTTATATCACTCAACGGTGCGTTGCTTATCCATTGATATTATCATAATCAGGCATACATTATAAAAGTACGCGAATTTTACTGAAGAAAATCATAATAAATCAAAGCGAAACTATACAATGTGACACAGAACCATTATTTATTTAAACAAAGCAGTTGGAAATACAAACTGTTATTGACCTTTAACTCAAGACAGTCAATCGACGGACAATGAGTTTTTATCTTTTTATCAAAATTTAGCAAGCAGCTTGTTTGTGTAAAAACTTAGTTTCATTATTGATGTTAATCAAGAGGAGCAAACTGACTTCTACCGCCAGAAATCATTATAATGCCTTACGAATACATGACAAGAAGTGGTTAAAAATTACCACAAATCATTAAAAGTCAATAGAAACCATTACAAATTGTTGGAAATCACTGTAAATCACTAAAAACCACCTTTAATAAGGTAAAAAACAAAAGCGCTGATTTCTATTGATTTCTGATGTTTTTTATTGATTTCCTAGATTGCCAGTAATTATCGTATATCAACATGTAGATTATCACGAGTAAGTGAAACGAGCAAAAAAGAATAAAAACAATTCACGTGGTTTTTATTTTTATTTTCTGTTTTTGTTTAGAAATAAATAGTGTGCCATAGATTCTCAGCTCTCATTTTTATGGTACAAATAAGAATTAGCGCAATTCAAATATTATACAATAGTCCTTCAAGGTCTTGGACTTGCGTGGACTCCGAGGACTCCTGGTATCCACTTTTTCCTCTTGCACTAAACCATTTGGATAAGCAGTATAATGGCACTTGTACATACCTAGTTTTCATTGTATAATTGAGCTAACAGTTGATGCATGTAAGGCTTTAAAACTTGAATTGACATCGATACAACATTAACCAATAAGTGATGAAACTCCTTTTTATGACTTATGATTTTAATGATAGCATACAAGTGTATACCTCACATCCAACAAGATAGTTGTCTATAAGGCTAGATGTTTGAGTGCATGTCCAATGAAGTTTTGTTTATGACAACAATTGAAATCCTCTTGTACACAATACCAATCAGCATGCTCATCACAATCATGTTCACAACAAACTGCGTTCTGATTATGAGTATTGCTTATTTTCAGTAAATACCTCAATATCAATAAATGTGCATAGAAGAATGTGTGGCTAGTGTGCAAGGCAAATTCTATAAATGAAAATGTATTTGTAACTACGCAGCATAGGTTGGATGAGGGTGAGGATTGCGGTATACATTGTATGGTGTCATAGAAATTCATAAGGCATAAAAAGAAGTTTCATCATTTATTATGCTTAATCCTTTGTCCAGGCCGATTCTATTTTAAAGCCTCACATGCATAAACTATTAGCTCAATTATGCAATGAAGACTAAATTTTTACGAGTGCCATTATACTGCTTATCCAAATAGTTTAGTGACACTGCTATACTACTCGAACTGTAGGTCACTTTTCTCTATGAAACTAAAGATGATCCCTAATCATTCATACACCACTAGATGCGTCTTGAAAAGCTCTACAAGATGTGTTAATAGGAAACCTAATGAAGCCTGGTAGGTATTAAAACGTGCTCCACTTAAGAGTACCGGAGTCCAAAAATTGTTCTCCAACTTTATTTTTGATTGTTCTCAGCAAGGATAACAGCGTGAAACAAATTTGAAAAAGGTTTAAAGGGTTCAAAGAATTTCCTATCTGAAGTGCTGCATAAAGAGATTCAATCAAAGCTGTTGAAACCAGGGCCTCTGAAAAACCAACATCTCAGAAAACCAAGTCTCGGAGTTTAATCCAGAAATTCTTTGTAAATACGTCCATCGTGTAGAGTGACAAACCGTTTTATGCAGCACCTCAGATAGGCAATTCTTTGAGCTCTTTAAATCTATTTTCAAATTTCTTTCACGCTGTTATCCTTGCTGAAAAAAATCAAAAATAAAGATGGCGAACAATTTTTGTTACGCTTACGCGGCGCACTTTTTAATACCCCAAACCGCTGCCAGGCTTCGTTAGGTTTTCTCGTATCCCATCTTGTGGGCTTTTCAAGACGCATCGAATGGTGTATCACACCAGGTTAAATACTGGATAGTTGCGAAGAAATTTTGATTTTGCCGTAATATTGATAGTATGATGGGATGTTTGTCTTCGAGTAGATTCGGTCGGATACGTCGAATCGGAACCGTTCCAAAGTGTTGCAATCATCGAATAAGATGACTTTGATGAATTCTGGATACATTGAAGAAATAAAATGTAGTGGGCCGATTTCAAGTCTTATGCGGACATCTTCAATTAAAGCTCTTGCTTTTCTGTGTGATAATGTTAAACTTTTCTTTTTACTGAACGTGAAAAAATATGGGATTCTTGCCCATAGATTAAAGAGTTTCCGATTTATTGAGGTGAAATATATCTTCCAGCAAACAATATCGTACGAGTTTGCCTATTATGAATTAAAAAACAAAGGATGATTATATGTAAATGTAATTGTTTGTATATGACCCGAAGCCCCAGGCAACATCATATTTGCAGTGGCTCTTTCAACACCATTCATTAATATCAGTAACCGAATTTTGTACAATATTTTTTATTACTAATTGATTTGTTTCCATTGTCGTTAAAGATATACTAGTGAAATGCTACCCGAAAGATAACATCCCAATGTAACACTATTCGTAAATAAAAAAAACATAAAAAGATCAGATTTCACCATCAAGGTACACGTGAATCATTCCAAGAAAAATTGGCAGTGTAGCATTTAACTAAATATAATACTCCAAAATAATAAAAACGCACGATATATATACAGAGATATGATGCAAATACTGAAACATTAGTAGAAATACGTGCATATATACGTCATTCCAGTATTTGCATCATATCTTTGTCATTTTTGTATCAAATCTAAACTTTTTTATCATAATGATCAGAAAAGAATTCTCTGCAAAACGTGATGTTTTGAAATTAATTCTGAGACATATGACTTTGCATGAAAATACCTGTCTAGCAGCAGAATCACATAATGTGAGCTTCTTCACATAAAACACACGCCATATATACGACTAAAAAATACAAAGAAACAAATAACGTGTGGCACAAAAAGAATTGCACTGTTAGTATTTTCACATTTTCTCCTCCTTCTTACACTTCATTTAGCTGCTTCTTTTACCAAAAGATTTTCTGTTCAATTCTTTACAAAAAATAAATTGAGTGTTTTATTGCAAAATGCCATAAGAAATTGTGAGGAGTACCAAAATGTAGAAAAAATAAACGTAGTTTGTACGTAGAAGCGTATTAAAACTGAATTTTAGTACTATTTGCTAAAAGTTTATGAGAGAGGAAAGTTGAAGTATTCACCATGTACGCCTCAAAAAGCTCTATCTTCCATTTATAATCTACATAATTACAAGTTAGAATTGAGCACGCAAGAATTTCATTATTTGTTGCCAATCTTTTCAAAAATGACGAGTTTTTACCAATAATTTGAACCTTCTGATAAAAGAAATAAAGGTTAGTCAAACTTGATCCATTCAGATTGATCTTTTAATTTTGATTTGTTACTTTGTTACCAGTAACCAAGTAACAAACTAGCATCTGATGTTACTAATTACTAGCAATAAGTAACAAATTTTTGCTACTTTACTTGGTAAAGTAACACAGAGGAATAAGTAAAGAGCCCACCCCCCTAGCTGAGACGTTAATCTTTGCGTTGGATATTTAGAAACAAACGATTTTCGCTCTACATGGCGAGAAAGAGACGATTTGGCACTACACAAAAATATGCTGAAACCGTGTTTTAATACTTATGAAACTATTCAAACACATTTCGCACTCTTTAAGAAAATACGTTTATGTTTTCTACATTTTGGTACTTCTCACAATTTCTCATGGCATTATACATCTTTGGATTTTGTAATAAAACGGTCAAGACATTTTTTATAATAACGGAGAATCTTTTGGTAAAAAACTAGCTCAATCAAGTGTAAGGGGGGAAGCTTTGAAAATATTAACAGTATAATTCTTTTTGCGCCACCCGCTATATCGCCGTATATCAACAGGTAAAAACGAGAACACGTCCACATATACAAGAGAGAAAGGACGGAAAAAAGAATGTCCATTTAATCGCCCTGGAGTCTCCAGGCTGGAGAAAACAGGAAAAGAGCGTGACGTCACATGTTTCTGCACGTGCCGCTAGCAATCCTCTCCTACAACAGACAGTGGTGGATCTAGAAAAATTTTTTGGTGCTGCTGGATTTGTACAAAACAGCAACACAATCAATGAAAAGTTCGATGCGCTCGGCACGTAGCACAGGAAGAAGAGTATAATAGTATGAAATCAAAAATTTCGGTGGCCAGCATCCACAGCAACGTAAATCCGCCACTACCAACAGATGGTGTGCGTCCAGGCACATAAGGGTTCAAATTATTAAAAGAACACTGTTGGGAAGAAAGTGATTCAATTCAAAGAAACTGTTTATGCCTTGGAAAATAACTGTTTCCAGAAAACCAGCCAAGCCAAGTCAATCAAACGATGATAGAATCAATAGCGGATCTAAGATAAACGCTCTTTTAGAATATCAGCCTATGAAAAGCACTATCAAGTTTGATCCATGAGAGCAGGGGTGGCACTTTACCGTTATCGATCTCTTACTTTACTAAGTAAAGCAACAGATTAACTATCAGTATTACTGGTAATAGTAATACGTTAGATTACTATAACTTTGAAAAGTAATAGATGAGTTATTACCATTACTTTCTGTTGAAATACTAGTAACAGCTCCGTTTTTTTAGAAAGATTCATATTAACGTCAAACTTTGTTGAAAAATATAAATAGGACATTTCACAATGAAAGAAACATTTGTTTGACTTCCTTTTTATTCTTTTTCTGTAGCTACCCACGTGAATGAGCTTTACTTTACTCGTCAATTAGGTTCATTGAATATGGTACAACCAGAGACGGCGGAACCACTAGGCTTAAGCCTTACCCGGATTTGGCTCTGTCAGGTTGAGCCTTCCCCCATTTTGATGTAGAATCTTGAATTTAGCACTATGTTAGTTAGATAATACTTGGCTACATTGACAGAAAGGCCTCATTTTTCTGAATAAAAGACCAAAAGACGTTTGGCTGCGTGTACCCCACCCCCAGCTAGCAATTCAGAAATGGTCGTGTATGACACCAGTACTGTAGCGTTTGGGGCGCTTACAACCACCGTCTAGCATTGATATTTAAAACCTATAGTATGGTACCTGTTTTGCTGTTTCTAACAAACGCGCCTCTTGTAATCAGCCCCGTGGTGTCGAAATTTTCGTATTTTGGCTCACTGACAAGCCTTTTAGTAAGAAATGGTTGAAAATATGTTTATTGCTGTACATTTGACAAAAATAGTTTTGACAAATATAGCTAGAAGAATATAGCATACTACTCGAATCATAGAATAAATGATTGCGAAACGCCATTTAATGGAAAAAGGGAACCCATTTAATGCAAGAAAAAAATTTCAAAGAAAGAGAAGGGAAAGAAACGATTTGTTTTGGTTCGGTGTCAATCGCTACATCATCAACTATTCCACTTAATCTTCTGACACATTGTATAATACCATTATATTAACAAGTATAGCTGAACGATTTGGTTAGAAGTGGTAGCTAGTAGTATAATAACTATAAGTCTTTTGCGCCCAACACGCTGTAAAGAAAAGTGCGTAAATGACACTGAAAGTGAGCGTCTTGCGATTCCCAGTAGCCGTCTAGAATGTATGGTGTAGGTGTATAAAATACACACTCAGAAGTATCATATAGCTTTAAACACTGAGACCAATGATACAGTCTAGTTGTGTGAATCTCTGTGGTGAAAATGCTTAAAATGTTTATTTATGAGATAGAATGCTTTTTCCTCTTTGTTTTCAAGTTGAAGAAAGAATGCTTGAAAATAACTACGAAAACGGAATGACGTGACAGCGCTTATTCACCATAGTTATTTTAAAATTGAAAATAGTGGATTATTCTGTAGCTGGCGAGGTATCAGCAAACATTAATAACTAAATAAATATTAACATCGAATTTTGAAACCATCTCTGCTGGTTAAAATATAAATTATGAATAATATCATGTGCTAATTCAGGTAATAAGAATAACGATAATGCTATTAACAAAATAGTAGAGATAGCACAAATATAACCAGATAAATAAAGATATGAAAATAATGACATTAGTAATAATGAACCTGTAAAGATTATTGCACAAATCCAATCTTCATGATATAAGAAAGGATATGCTTGTCTTAATGCAGCTTCATTTTGTTGCCATATAAATGTACATTTACTGAAGCCATGATAGTCTGTCTATTCTACTTATGATAAGTAGAATACACAGACTATCGAACAAATTGTACTTGAGTGAAGTACAATATTGGGATGAAGTGCTCAAGAGAATAATTTCAATTATTTTAACGATGGCCTCAGAAAATATAGCATTTAGAGGGTCTTCAGACAAACTATTCACCGAAAATAATGGTAAATTTTTGAAACTTATCGAATTGTTCTCAAAATTTGATCCGGTGTTAGAGAAGCATGTAAAACGGGCAGCAGAAAATCCACACAAGACTCATTATTTGAGAAAAGATATCCAGCAGGAAATTATTTCATTGGTCACCAAAGCTACAAAGGATAAGATTTTAGACATGGTCAAAAATGCAATGTATTTCTCAGTTATTGTGGACTGTACACCTGATGTAAGTCATAAAGAACAGATGTCCATCGTTGCGCGTTACGTCCACATCGAAAAAGCAGCTGAAGGTCACAATGCTAGTGTGAAAATTAAAGAAAGTTTTTTGGAATTTATTAACATTGTAGACACAACCGGAGCAAAGATGACCGAAGAAATTTTAAATTCTTTGAAACAAAATGACTTATCTATTATGAATCTTCGTGGTCAAGGCTATGACAATGGAGCCAATATGCGAGATAAAAGAAACGGTGTGCAATCTCACATTGCAAATATCAATTCAAGAGCCTTTTTCGTTCCATGTGTCTGCCATTCCTTGAATTTAGTCGTTGTTGATGCAGTAAAAGGAGCTACTGAAATTGTTAAATTTTTTTCGACCATTCAAACAATTTACAATTTTTTCTCGGGATCGACAAAGCGTTGGCACATTTTCTAGTCCATGTGTTGTAAATTGACGGTGAAATCGTTAAGCGATACTAGATGGGAAAGCCATGTTAATGCCGTTAGTGCTTTGAAGACCGGATTGAAAGGCATTTATTCTGCGTTAAAAGAAGTATTGCAAAAAGATTCACTTACACGTATAACAGCTGAGCCCGTTGATGCAAAAAAGAAATTCAAAATCAAATTTTTCGACATTTTGATCACAACAGCAATTGCTTCGATGAAAGGGCGTTTTGAGTCATTTACTAGCATTTTTGAACCCTTTGAATTTTTGTACAACATTAAAGAATGTGATGAAATGAAGGAGAAACAACTGAAAGAAAAATGTAGATCATTAGAAAAAACATTAAGTGACAAAGAAAACAAGGACATTGAAGCAGAAGAACTTGAAATAGAGCTGAAATTGTTGTCTCGAAAAATTGAAGAAGATAGTACACCAGAGACGGTTTTCAAGTACATTTATAATAACAACTTTGAAGAACTCTTCCCAAATGCACTGATTGCATTGAGAGTACTATAGACTTTGCCTGTTTCAGTTGCTAAGTGAGAGAGAACTTTTTCCAAATTAAAATTAATCAAGAACTATCTGCGATCAAGCATGAGTCAAGAAAAATTGAATGGTTTGGCAATAATTTCAATAGAAAATAATATTGCTCAATCTATTAACATTGCTGCGCTGCGGCAGGATTTCGCTAAAATGAAAGCCAGACGAGTCCCTTTTAGCAAAAGTTAGTGTAAATTATGTTTAAATAAATCTTAATTTTGGTATAAATATATTATTAGTTTATATTGTCTTTAAATAGTCACTTGAAAAAAACAACCCAAATTTGTATTAGCAGAACTAGGGCATAAGTAAGATCATATTGTAGAGAGGTTCTCATTTGCTTTTCATTTCCTGTTCGTTTTATTGACAGTTAATTCGAAAAAAAATTTTTTTGGAAAGGCGCCAAACATTTATCGCACACACAAGAAAAACAGCACGCGCCGGGCCTGTACTTATCTTATCTTATTTATATACATGACAGAAAGGACGGGTCCGTATAAGCTAAAGAATCGGTCCACTTTTTTTTTGCTCAAAATGGTCCTGTGACTAGTAGAAAACCAGGAACATTGGATTTTAGGTGCTTTCGGGTGGTTAAAGCCCTTCCATCCCGACAGGATCTTCACTTGGAAGCGGCCATTATGGAACACTATTAAAATGCATTTCATGTGCTTTTCTCTGACACTATAGGAGCATATAAAGAAATAAACCCATAATTAGAAAGCTCTTTCAATTCTCTACAAACTGGTATATTCAAAACATCTTCGTCGATTTGCAAAAGATCATTAAGTTCGACATAATTCAGAAAAATACGACCTGGAGATCATTAAGCTAACTTTTTTCGAAAAAACCCATTTATCTAAAATAGTCGATTTTATAGCTCTTTCAATTTTCTACAAACTGGTATATTCAAAATATCTTCATCCCTTTGCAAAAGCTGGTTTTTAGCTCGAGTTTATTTGATATAATATTGTACCATCGCCGTCGTCCGACGAATTCTCATAATCAGAAAATTGTAAAGCATCTTCTACAAGATAAGATAATTATTTGATGGTTGATTAATGTCTTGGGTAGCCGTCTGATTCAAGCAAAGGCGCCACAAAGTGACAGCGATGTGACTGCAGCAACCGACTGTTCGTTGGCCAGCTGTACAAATACAAAACCATCCAGAAATTGGATTTAGAATGCTGTTGTTATATTCAATATATGTGTTATATATCTCACTATTAGAATGCCGTGATTGATACCGAACTTTTACTAAATCATCAACATTGTCGTCTGTTTGTATCGTTGTCCGCTGTTTGAGGAAAAGCTGCTGATGGTTTGAAATGTTCCTGAACATACGGCGAAGCTTGTTTCACTTGAAATATTCCTAAAGAGAAACGCTTTTGTAATTCACGTACATGTCAGATGCGTTATATAAGAAAGAAAACTGTTTTGCATTATTGATTCTGTTATGATGCACTGCTGCATTCTGCACAGTAATCAGTCGGGAAGTCATGAAAAACTTTCTTTTTAGTATCTTCTCCTAGGCGTCGAGCTCACCAAAGGTAATATCACGAAGCTCTTATTCGCTTAGCTGCGGAAATGAGTAATTTTGTGCATTCTGATCCTTCCATTTTGAATGATGTGTAAGGTTTTCTCTACTTAATCGTTCTTTCGCTTTATTTGTGTCTTTCAAACGAGTCAACATTTTATGCGCGTACTTTAAGCTTTACATCGATAATGAACAGATAGAATCTTAATGGAACGAGATCGTAAATTTTGAAAAACTTGGAAATTTCTATCTCGTATTACGAAAATTCTCTTCATGCATTTTAGAATCATTTTTCCCTAATTTAGTTTTTATCTGTTTAAAAGAAACTACATTCTGCCTGAAATCTGCGCCTGGGTTCATCATGATAAAACAAGAATAATAGGACTAAAGTCACCTTTTTAAACATAAGTATAAAGTAACAACTTTATTTATTTGAGATGTTTCGTTCTATGCTACAGAAAGATCTTTCTGTTGTACTTATGTCCATGTTTTTACACACTGATCATTTTGACTGATGAAGTTCTATAGCATAGAACGAAACGTCCCAAATAAATAAAGTTGTTACTTTATACTTATGTTTAAAAAAGGTGACTTTAGTCTTATTATTCTTATTAAAAATTTTCACCTTAAGAAATAATTCTTCAATGATAAAACAATAATGCTACAGGAAGGCACGTTGGAATAATGTCTACATGAGAATATATTTTCTTAAAAGCAGATGATTCTTTCGTATAACAGACCAGTAGTTCCAGTGTCGCTGCTTCATCTCGACCCGTTCTAGATCTCATGACTTAACATTCGGTACTTAGTTAAACCAACACAAATCTCTCCTGCATATTCACTACAATAAACTCTCTATATGGCACTTCTCTACACGGCTTATTTCGAAACAGTATTTGCACACATAAAATTTTACATATTTTCCACAGGTTGTCAGCAATTACCAATTACTGATGTTCGTTATAAATGTTTACAATGTCCGAATTATGATTTATGTCAAGCATGTTATAGTGAGAAAGAAATACATAACGAACATTGTATGGCTACAATACGACAACCTTGTATAACAACATCATTTTTTAGGAACACCTCACACATATAAAGGGTATCCTATAATAAATTGTTAATGATATTTTTCATACTTTTTCTTGACATAGAAGGCTGATATTTTTATCGCATATATATCTAATAAAGATCTTTTATTTCTGAAAGT